AAATGTTTATAGATACATTTAGTATCATTTTTAGGTTTACATAAACTTATCATACTCTAATGTTCTCCAAATCACTTTTCTCATTTGACATTTACTTTTTGAGGATCTATCCATGTTTTAACAGTTATATGTTATTTTCTTGAATACATGTATCACAATTTCTTTTTCCATTTCCCTAATGATGGACATTTGGGTTGTTTCAATTGTTTACTGTTACATAAAATATATCCTTGTGTGGGTCTTCTTGTGCATATATACAAGAATGTCTATATGCAACATGTATGCTGGGTCATAAAATAGGAATATTACTACTTGCCAGATTATACCAATCTACATCATCATTAGCAGTGATGAGTTCTTTGCTCTACATTTTTACCAACACTAGATATCGTCAGACTTTTTACAAGTTTTACAACTGCAAACGGTGTGATTACAATTTACGTTTCCCTGACAATTAAAGAAGTGGTGCCTTCTTTCCATTTATGAAATCTTATTTCCTCTTCTGTGAACAGCTGACACTCTTACCTATTATAAAATTTGCTGTTGGGTTTCCTTTCTCTCAATGATGTATAATAGATCGTGAGACAGCCCACTCTATTCATTTACCCCGTATATATGTTGTAAATACCTTCTTCCAGGTTGATACTTGTCTGTTTATGGGTTTTTTTGTCCTCTAGATTTTAATTTCAATATAGTGAAATTTAACAATCTTTTATGATCTCTGCTATTTGTATCTCACAAGTAGAAATCCTTCCCTCTCCTGAGGTCATCAAAATTTTCTTTTTTATTTTATCTTCATAGTTTTATATTTTGTTTTTCACATCCTTTTTTTCCTATCAGTTATTATTGGGGTGTAGTAACACTATTAATTTTTGTGCAACAATCTTAAATCAAAAAACCTTGCTGAATTCTGTCATTCTAATATTTTATCTCCAAATTCTTTAGGAATTTTCACTTAAAAAACTTATTTTATGCCAACACTAACATTTTAAAGTTTATTTAGCGTTTCAATCTTTAAAAAATAAACTTTTAATATGGAAACTTTCAAACAAACACAAGAGACAATATAGTGAATCCCCTTGTTTCTAAGCACCCAGCTTCAACAACGTGCCATTCTTGTTTTATCTATCCTTTTCCCCCAAAACACTTCTATACTTCATTTTGCTTTGTTTTTTTCCTGAAATATTTTGAAGCAAATCCCAGTCATCTATTATTTCACCTGTAAATACTTCAATATGTATCTCTAACAGACATGGCTTCTTCTTATCTTTTTAAAACATTAAGTGTTGAATGTTATTGAATCCTTTGTCTTCAATCTATTCCTCATTCATTTTCAACTTAAACCCTGGAATAGAAATAAAATTTGAGAGGGAACTTCATATCTGGAGACAATACCACTCTTTGATTTAGGGAAGAGGAGCCTCTATCCTGGATCTACACGTTAGGGGATTTTACTTTGACCTCTGGCTCTCTCCCCCAAGGGTAAGAAACCATGGTGCCAAGGTGATATGCCCAACTAGAACACATGCCCCCTTCCAGGCAAGATTCTAACACCCCAATAGCCCATACAGACTCAAGCCTGCCTTTTAAGGGTGAAATGAGGCAATGGTATAAACCAGGAGTATAGACAGAGCTTAGACATATAGGTAGAGAGTCTCTCTCTCTCTGTCTCTTCTCTCTCTCCTCTCTTTCCCCCCCACCCCACACACCAGGCCTCTCATGAAGCAGAACAAATCAAGGGGTAGGGAGAGAAAGGAAGCAGCTTGTAGGTCAGGGGCCACCTCTCCCCTGTCTTGCCATGTTTTGTCATGGAATTTCATAAAATCAGATGGCCTTCCGAATCATTATGAAGGTATATTTATCAAGATAAGAGAATAAAACATTGTATTTAAATCAGGAAGCTTGCTTCATACTTTTAAATGTTAAGACAAATAGCACGGGGACTTCAATTTGTATTCTTGTCAGAACTCCGCAAATGGTGAGGAGCCTGACTAGTGAATGTACAATATAGTTAAAGTTGCATTTCATCAGTACTATTAGATTTTACAATCTGATCAACATTTTCAGCATACCTGTAAGGCAGGTATCACCCTGGGCAGCGAACCCAAACTTTAGAATATAGAGGTTAAAAGCTCAGATTTTTGGAATCAGTCTTGATTCTAATCTAGGCTTAACCATCTGCTAGCAATGTAACTCTGAGGGAGTGACTTAATCTTTCTAAACCTCAATTTCACT